CACTTTCACTATCCGACGTGTTTATGATGCGCCAGCGGACGTCATTTTGTGCGTCTGCTGCTGTGGGGAAACTATGGAAACTACAGTTTTCTAAACAGCGGACTACAACATGGATGTATAATAAGAACGAGGGACTACTGTAAACTCATCTAGAGACTCTGCACCGTGCTCTGATGCTGTTGTTTTATGCTTTATGAACGTGGACAAAAGAGAAACATATTCTTCAAGTTGGAATTTAAATAAAAAAGTAACCACACAGCTCAGTAAAGACTGTGAAATGTTGACTTTATTTGATCATTTCAGTAAAAACTAACGTTCATATTTCTCTTTTTGATTATAATACTGATGAACGTTCAAAACAAAGCACTTTGGCAAGTTACCACCTTTATATATACAGTCTATGGTTACCACATACGTTTTAAAATGCTTAATAAGCACCATAACGTTCATGATATCATTTCTCGGTCATAATCGGTTGTTTCCGTGAACGGCCGACTGTTGTGTGACGGCAAATGCTGCGGCTGCAAGGCATTGTGGGGCAGCATTTTCTCCTCTCCTTTCTTCAAGGGAGGTCCAGTGGTTCCTAAGCTAAAGGAGGTTATAAAGGAAGTTTGAAAACTCCTTTCCTTTCATTTGGAGAATTGGAACGGTACTTACCATGGCTGCCAGTGAGGGACTTCCGTCATTTCAGTCCGTTAGGAAGGTTCCTAAGCTAAAGGGACTATTCGACTTCAGCCAAGGTCCATCTGGCTTTCTGTCGTCCATCTTGGTTTAGAGAAATGTATCATGCACTTACACTGACTTTCCACTGAGTGGCAGTGTAAGGGATGATGCAATAGGGTCCTATGTAGTGGCTGTGCAACCATGCCATCAAAACCCATGCATATACAAGAAAACACCTTTTGCAAAGCTGTCCACTGTAGTAGCCTCTATGTGTGAAAGGGTTCAGATCTGCTCTCGGGTGAGAAGGAGCTACTCTAGGCCAAATATATCAATTTGCTCCATAGAAATGTAATAGATCCCTTTATTTTGGTTCTTAAACCTCCACTGATCTTATCCTTCGGTGGTTTTTGATTAGCTTTCCAAGCCCCTGATACAGAGAGAACATTGTTTTTGTATTGCAAAATGCACCATTAATAATAGTGTTTAATCTTTTTTATGTGAATATACAATTTTTTGTTGTTGAAATGAAATAGAATGTTATTTTAGGGTGACAAAACACTGCTATTCTAAAAAGAAAATAGTACACATTTTCAGCAAAAACAACAGCACAATGATTTGTGTAAGCAGATGGGGTGTGTTGCACCTTCTGTTTACAAAAATGCTTAAACCCATGTTCTGACCCCTAGGTGAACTACTGGCAGCAAACACAGAAATGGACCACAAACAAGAGGCTTCACTCTCTGACAGCATGGCTGTGAACATGACGCCAGCTCCTGCCATTTGGGCCGGGGAGGATCAGCCGTCGCTGCTGGACCAGGAGGACTCGGTGTCGAGCCAAACCCCCGTCTCTGTGCCATGTCCGGGGGTCAGAGCTGAGCCTCTCATCCTCAGCAGCAGCAGCAGCAGCCCGGTCATCACGAGGCCCCCCCGCAGCAAGTCCAAAGGCGAGCTGGTCATTGTCATCAACGAGAAGCTGAAGAACAGTAAGTGACAGAGTTTGACCTGTGTTGAGGCAGCGGGTGGAGGAGGAGGGGGCTTAGTCAGCTTACTCAGGCAAAGTCAAGTTTCAGTGGAGGAGTCAAGGGCAGCAGGTTGAATAGAAGAAAAATATCAGGTCCTATGTCTAACCACCTTTACTAAACCTCAGTGAAACAGACCATGGGTTTAAGGAAAGATGTGAAGGATATGAAGAATATCAGCAACTGTGGTGCTAAGAGAATCCACCTGGCTTTACAAAGTCTCCTATGGAAAATGCTTGATTTTAAGCAATCTTCAATACTCAATCAAACGGCAATGCTTCATTTTCAACATAATTTAGTGTTTCATTTACAGAATCAAGAATCTTTGATTATCTGAAATACATCGATCACCAAGTCGTATATGCTTATTGCCGGCTTGCTTTTCACATCAGACAGCAGACTGGAGCTAGCAATAAAATAATCAAGATCAAATCATCCAATCAAAAGTAACAGCTCGTAAAATAATATACACAAATTCCTATGGGTAGATGGGAATTCTCACTTCTCAATTCTCTCAATTCTCTCTTCTGGTTTAGATACCTTGAAAGTGTTGGTATTTTAGTTTTAAAAGGCAGTTCACAGTTCATTTATCTCCTCCAGTGTTTTGACATTTCCTCGTCCTTTTCTGTCCCTCATGTGTAGGTAACGGGATCCACTCGGCGCCCGCAGAGAGCCCCTCTCCGGTCATCTGCTCTCCTCCCAGAAGACAACACTCCATCTCCTACCCCCACCCCCACCACAACAAGACGAGGAAGGGCAGCAGGGCGAGCTCCGTCGGCTACACCGCTTTCTCTCCTAGGCCGTCCATCTCCCGCCACTCCAGCATCGCCACCAACCCTCCGCTGGACCGCACCAAGGTCAAAGACTACCTCTTCCTGTCCGTGCTGGCCTGCTTCTGCCCCGTGTGGCCCATCAACATTGTTGGATTTGTCTACTCTGTCATGGTGAGAACAGGATCTTTTAGCTGTGTTTTAAATAATTATAAACATGTCTCAAGCTAACAGATGGTTCTTCCTTCTCCTTCAGTCCAAGAACAGCCTCGAGCAGGGAAACCTGGACGGCGCTGTGCGTTTGGGACGAGTGGCCAAGATGCTCTCCATAGTGTCTCTAGTTGGAGGGACGCTCATTATCATCGCTTGCATCGTCAACCTGGCCAGTGAGTCTCCAAGATCTGACCTTTGAACCTTAAAAGAGCTGCAACTTATTATTATTTGTATATTCGATTAATCATTTGGTCTGTAAAATAGTGAAACATTTTCATCCCTGTTTCTCAAAGCCTAAAATAATGTCTTTGGATGCATGAAAACAGAATTTTCTGACATTCTTTATTAAATAACACAACTTATTATACCAATCCATGTACTCTGTTGTTCATACAGTAAAAAGAAAATATAAAATATACCTGCTTTAGCACATGCATTGAATCTGAAAAACGAGAATAAAGAAAAAAAAATGCACCAAACAGTTATTAAACTGATAGATTCCAAATACATTACATTCATATAGACAATAACCATAGGGGAAATAGGACTATAATAATAAACACTTGTAAATACGTACAGACTAAGATTTACATTAAAGGTGACCTATCATGCAAAATGCACTTTTGTACGTCTTTTCTACATGAATATGTGTCCCCGGTGTTCCAGGGAACTCACCAAGTGTCAGAAAACACAACCCTCTCTATTTTCCTCCATACCCAAATCTCTTAAAAAGGGGCTGCAACGGATCTGATACAGACTGATCCAGATTTGAACACTTCTCTGACGTCACATAAGTGGCGCTACGGCTATTGGGCCAACTCCACCAATCAGGAGGAGACAGCCACCGACATTGCCGTTCGAAAGCGCTGGAGACGCTGTAGTACATATGCCAGGCCTGTAGATGGTGCTGTTCTCACAGAATCAGCCCATGAAAAGACAGTGTTAAATTGAGCGAAATGAGGAATGGCTAAAATGCATGATCTGTTTGGTATTTTGAAAAATAAAAAGTATAAATATGTCTTATATAGGTATGATCCTACACTATATTATTAGAATATAGCATGATTGCAAGACCATGATATATAAATGGGGCTATAATACAAATTAATCTTGTTTTTTTTCTGTTATTTGAGTTGTTGCTGCTCTAAACCCTTACCTCACATTTTTACCCCTCTGTGTGCAGTGATTAATCCCCCTGATTTGTATCAATAGCCTTGCTAACACTGATTTTCCTGTCAGTGCTGCTGTCCCTGTTTATCCCGACACATTATTAAATTAACCTTCGTTAGCATAATCTGACTGTAATCACTGATAGTATTACCCTTGTTGGCAATATACCTCGCTCAGTTACAATGCCTGCACGACTCAGGGTGGCACTTTAGGAACCATGTCATTGCTATACAGCGATCAGAGCACATTAATCACATGAGACTCAAACACACTTGCTGACATGTTTGTTTATCGGCCCCGGCAGCCTCCTGCCTCCAGCTGTGTGTGTCTCTGCGGTGATATGTGCTGTCAGATGTATGTCTCGCCCTGTTTGCTGGTACATAATGTGAAGGCTCTCTGTCCCTGTGTGTCTTCATATCATGTGTCAACGTGTTAGTTGTTGACATGCTCACAAGACAAATATGTGTACATTTAATGTACTGAATAAAGAGATATGATAACAGAGCAGTGACTATAATTGATCATCAGAGGTGTCCTAAAAGTACAATGGCTCCTTAATTTAGAAAATTGGGTTGCTTATTAAGCCAGGGATACAAAATATACTTTTTTAAAGTGAATGCGACACTAAACAATTACAATAATAATACATGTCTTTAGCTAACTAGTTTGCTGTTATGGATAGGCAACAATGTTTAGCACAGGTAAGCTAGCTCACATGGTTGCACATTCATTTGTAAGTGAGATTATCCTCAGTGTTGTGTAGGAAAAAAATGTTGTTGCTAAAAGAATGTTGGATTCATATTACTGTAGTTTTTAGACATTAGAAAACCATTTAAAAACATATATAAGTACAATATAATGGGAACCCCCCTGCAGTAACCGACCCGTGTATGAGAAATGGAGTAATATTTGTCACCTCTGTACTTCATGATTAAATGTATACATGTATGGTCAGTTAAAAGACTCTTTGCCTTTCCCCTTCAGTCAAGCAGATACTCATCTGTAGGCCTACTTTGTTTTTGATGCTGCCTGTTGGGTCTAATTAAGCCGAGACATGTTCTAATTAACTTAATGACTAGAAGAGCACACAACTTTAAGGGCTCAGGGACAACCCGTGTTTTTCTCATTACATAACTTGTCCTCTGTGGTCTATGAAGTTTATCTATCCATATCAAGTCGTTTCACAATATAACTCTAAAACTAATACGCTTCCTTTTCTTTTCTTTAGTAAATGTGAAAACCTGAGTTTCATCCCAGGATGAAACTGGATAAGGCAACTGACCGTCCGGCCCGCACCTGTACCACCGTCTTTACCGCCTAGTCATTACCTGGATGTGTGACAAATATGCACCCGATATACAGTGCGTACTTGTATTTCTGTAATCTATATAAATCCCTTTTTGCTAATGGAAGAAAATAAAATATGCAAATGCAGCTGTTCTGAGTCAGAGGAAGGGAGAAGAAAGTCTAATCAGCCCCTTCGTATTCTGGTCATTCAGAATGATTCTTGAGAAACTCTTCGAGAAGTGACTCAAACAAGCTGGACTGGAGGAGGGGTGGAGGTGGTTTCAGACCGTGAACCATCAAGGACTGCCTCCCAGTTTCAGCGCCACATGCAACAAAATGTCCGCCCTTCACTGCACCCGATGACAGGACACATCTGTTTGCCGTCAAATATCCTCTCAAACATGGAGAAGCTCTGGGATTTGGTTTGGCTGCATTGGAATCACAGAGCAGATATTAGTCCTGGAAGAGAAGAAACACTTTGAATCTCTGTGTGTCCTCTTGTTTCTGACTCTTCTCTGTGGTTCTCATGACTCCCGCCCATACATCATGTGTATGGGTGGCAAAAGAGGATGAAAAAGAGGCTTACCAAGGACTAGCTACGGGTGCTAAACTGCAAGGGATTATGGAAAGTCTCACACAGGAGGCACAGTCATCACTGGGAGGAAATATATGTGCCAAAAAGAAGAGCCGACTCTAAACACAGAGTTGTTGTAGAGACGAAACATGTTTTTTTACTCTGCTGCAACTCTACTGTTTGTATATCCGCTCAACACCACTGACCACTGTGAGCCTGGGAAGGGTACACAACAAAAAACACTGTAGCATCTACTATACTAATTATTATCATCAATATATCTTTTGATAATGTTTGTAAAAGATCACATTGAAACTGAATTTCATAAGCATAAGTGATGCTCTTGAAGTGCTGTGCCGCGGTTGACAGTTGGTGGTATAGTTGTATGCATATGGGCATCTGTATTTGGTTAACAAATGAAATTGCTTGTTATTGCAGCCAAAGGCTCCAGCCTCAGTCTGCAGCCACAGTCTGCAGCCACAGGTAGCCCATACTCGCAAACAAGACAGATTGTGGCTTTTTGTCCCCTTTAAAAAACCTAAAACAGCAATGAGAACCATAATTATTTGCCCATTTGGTTGTCTTTATTATTCTATCTTATTCTTCTTATATTCTTAACTAACCTTTAATCTACTCACTGTGATCTGAAGCACCTGGGCTTCATCGATGATCTATAAAACTCTGGATTTTGAATCATGTACAGATACTCACACATGCAGAATGATTTAATGTGGCAGTTTTTTTCCTCTATTACCAATTAACATGTACATTTAATTGTAATCGACAGTGATGTGTTCTGCAGATATAAATCTCAATATTGTGATAACTCTCTAGTTAATATGAGTTTAAGTAGTTTTGATCTAACATAGGCGCAGTTACTGACATTGTGTTACCACTAGGGTTGCAAAGGGGCGGAACGTTTCCGGTAAATTTCCGGAAAGTTTCCATGGGAAGTTAAGCTGGGGAATTTTGGAAATATTCGAGGCAAAATTAAACAAAAAAACATGAAATTTCAACAGATGTTTTTTTTTATTTAATTTTTTTTTAAGTAGAACAGAACAAGTTTTAATTATTTTATTGAACAAATATTTTTTCTCATTGAAGAACGAAAACAGGAATGTTGTGTTGAATGTTACTCATCCCCCTCAACCCCACTCATTAAAAAATGAACAAATATGCACCCCCCATCCAAAAAGTCCAATTCAAAATGTTAAATGAAAAGAGCCCTTCTCCCTCCAAAAAGTCCCATTTAAACATGCAAATCTTCCTTCAAGCGATCCTCTGCATTTTTGCTAAACCCTTTCAGTCAACGGGCTCTTCCTGGGCCTCATCAACATCCAACTCTGAGTCTTGCTCTTCAGTATCACTGTCCAGCCTTGTTGAGGATGGCTCTGTGTCCGGCTCAAAGAGCCTTAGGTTTGCCCGAATGCCAACCAGTTTTTCCACTCTCACATTTGTGAGCCTGTTGCGAACCTTTGTGTGGTCTCAATAGCCATGCAGTAAGCAGTGTGCTATGGCATGGATATTCAAGTGTACTTGAATGGCATTGGTTTGTTTTAGTCAAGATTATGCTAAAATATACTTTCCCCAACTATATTTTAGTTCCCTATACAGAGCCAACCTTCGATTTTGAAAATTCCCAGTTTATTCCCATAAATTCCCGTTTATTCCCGTTAATTCCTGTGGAAAGTTTCCATCTTTGAAAATTCCCGGAATTTTGCATCCCTAGCCCTCCCTCAACCTGATCCTCGTCTTCCTCCTCCTCTTGGTCCCCCACTGCTGAACTTGGCCGTGGCGTGTCCTCTGGAATAGAGGATATT